CAATTGTATATCTACTAAACAAGTTTCATTTGCATTTCTGTGGGCAAGAGTCAATTGCCTTACTATTCGTTTTCTACAACTTACAGTATTGTAAAATAGCCCAGTCAAGACAAAGGTGCAGATTCTTATAGAATCAAATAATCCCAAAGGATCCACTATATAACTCTTGGTAATCCACTGGAAGAACACACAGTAATCTTTTTCCCATTTGAAAGTTTGTTGCAATTTTTCCTGACATCTTATGAGCCCAAAACTAGAAACAACCTAGAAGTCCAGCAACCAACAGTAGAACAGATAAATTGTGGTCTTTTCATGCAATGGGAATCTATATAGCAACAGAAATAAAAAACTGCGATCATATGCAACAATACAAATGAATTTCACAGGCATGTAATGTGTGAAAGAAGCCATTCACAAGAGAGTACATACTACGTGATTCCATTTAAATAAATTTGAAGAAGTAAAACTTATGTGTGAGAAGTGTTAGAAGTCAAGATAGTGGTTATAGTTATTCTTGCCTTGGGTTTGTGAGTGCGAAGGGGTGTGGAGGGACCTTCTGAGTATCTGTAATGTTCTGTTTCTTGATGTCTCTGCTGGTAACAGAGGTGTATTAACATTGAAAATTCATTAAGCTGTACATATACCTAAGATTTATGTATTACTGCTAAGTCTGTTATCTTTCAGTAAAGTTTGCTAAAAAGAATCAATTGGAGACCACAATTCTCCATTTGACCAGTGTCTAAAAGGGAAGTTGGGGGTGTAAATATGTACTATTGTCCTAATTCTGTGTCTTTGTAGAGCATAATTATTATTGTCCTTTGTGTTTGATTGAATTTTCTATTTTGTAGTCAGATGCCTTTGAAAAGTCATCAGGATTTCAGAAACAAGTTTGGTTCTGAGGGCTAGATGACCTTCATGTGCTTTCAGAATTCTCTAAAAGCACTTATAAAGCCCCCCTCCCCCCCCCAGCTTTTATAGCCTTTTCTCTGTGTGTATGATTGTCTCGGCTGTTATAATTTCCTTTTGCCTTAGGTTGAGCTGTGAGATTCTAAACTTGTACTCCCCCCCACCCCTTTTTGGTTTGGTATGTAATTTGCATATTTTCACCATGTGAAAGCTATTTTCTATGGTTGGAAAAGATTTTTTTCCAACAGTGTGAACAAATCATTCTTTGTTCTCCTTATTGTGCCTCCAAACTGGTACGTCCGGTTTATGCTCCAAACAACAAAAGCCTGTCATCAGAAATTAAAATGCCAGTAAGAACAAAGGCAGAGACCCATGAGGAACTATTGGAGAGGTTTCCTCCCTGTTTGCTCCTCTCCCCAAGTTACTGCAGTTGCCAGGAAGTTGGAACATTGCTTGATACACGCCTTCCTTGTAGTTCTACCCTTGTATTTATTATTGTTGGTTTAAAAGTGAACTTAGAGCTCCTGGTAATTCTTCTCAGGATCAGTAAAATCCTCATCTCAGAGATTCTTTGCTGTTTTCAATGAGCTCTTTCTAAGAAATCTAAAAATCACTTTGAAAGCCTTAAAAAAACTTCATCAGTTTTGACATTTATTTGAGAGCAAAATTGCCAGTGAACATACTGTATAAAATGATTAGAGGCAATTGAAAACGGCAGCTAAAGCGGAGCCTATAAGGACATAGCCATTCTCTGTGTCCTACCTAAAATGTGCACGTCTTATCTATATACACGTTATTAGCACTGTCTCTGTTCTGAACTTGTATTCCAGTATAGAGTTTGCCTATATTATTGGGAGAGTTCTCTCCTCTGGGAAGTTTGACATTTGTGACTCACTTAGGATACTTTAGAATTATGCTTCTAACAATTTTGATTTTAACATATTCACAAACTTCTATATATAGTAATAGTGCTTCCCCCCACCTCCCTTCCCTGATGTGATAATTAAAGATTCTAGGACCTTAACTTAGAGGTAATGAAGGATCGGCAATGAATGTGGAGATGCGTTTTGTAATCACGCCTAATGTTTTTTGTCTTACCTGTTGCTGTACATTTAAAAAGGGATTTAGAGTAGAAGCTTAGAATAGAATAGGGCATTTAGGTTTGTTTTAAAAGCCGTTATGCTCAAAAGCATGGTGTGTTCAGATTTCAGAATGTTTTTGTATATCAAAGTAAGCTCTTGGGTATTAAATCCAGTGATAACAAACGTTTATCATATTGTGAATATGCCAAGACAGGTTTGTTTTATTCTTTATTGTTTAGTATAATTTAGTATAGCAGCTCAGTTAAATGTGATTAGACTTTTTAGCTTTAAGGCTTTATTTGATAGGACCAAAAGCTAAATGCTAGACTTGTGGCATATGGGAATAATAGTACAGAGCAGTGAATTTTGTGTTAGAATACTATGATTTGTTATAGGTATAAACCTTATTTGTGAGAGGTGGTTTTCATTACTCTGAATTATAATGTCAGTGCAATTTCTACAGTATTGTTTTTTTTAAATTTTATTTATTTTTATATTTATTTTTTAATTTTTGGCTGTGCTGGGTCTTCGTTTCTGTGCGAGGGCTTTCTCTAGTTGCGGCAAGTGGGGGCGTCTTTTCATCGCAGCGTGCGGGCCTCTCACTATCGCGGCCTCTCTTGTTGCGGAGCACAGGCTCCAGACGCGCAGGCTCAGTAGTTGTGGCTCATGGGCCTAGTTGCTCCGCGGCATGTGGGATCTTCCCAGACCAGGGCTCGAACCCGTGTCCCCTGCATTGGCAGGCAGATTCTCAACCACTGCGCCACCAGGGAAGCCCTACAGTATTGTTTTATAATTTATTTTTCATTGCATTCTTAGTAGAAATAGTATGTATATTGAAGAATACTGTTTATCCATTGCCTAACAAACAATCTCTTTTCAAAAAGTAAATGACTTGGCAGCTTTGGAGGTAGCCAGTAATGCATCTATAATGTAATTGGACTGTATTAGTGATTTACCTTTTGGTGAAAGTGTTCTTAAAATCAAAGAGGTGATGGTAATTTTTGGATTTCAGAGAATGTGTGATTTACTGCATTGGGTGGGAGGTTGAACAAAGTGACCCTTTAAGGATTTTTCTAAACTGAAAATTCTGTTCTATAAGAATAAAATGTGGACTTAGGAGCTGCAGTATATAATGGCAATGGTATTTTATTTTGAAAATTAATGTTTACAGAGGAATTTGTAGAGAGGTAAATTTAAGTTTGCTATACTGAGTTTGTAGCTTTTGTGTGTTTAATTGGTGATAGGTGGTGCTATTGTTGCATAGTTAGTGGGAAGAGCCTAGCATTCCTCGTATCTTCTGCTTCCCAAGTGCTATAGAGGGATTTGCCATTGTGGCCAATAAATACATTGTAATAATTTTTATAAGCTAAATGAATATGATGGCTCTTTAAGAGACAAAAATATTTACAGTTTGCAGCTCTTAAATTCGGGTAGAAGAGAAGCTGAAGATCTAAAAAAGTAGTTAATCTAAAAGACAGCTCTGCAGATTTATAGTTTAATATTGGAAGATTGATAAGCCTTTTATAATGTATACAATGATGATATTTTAAACTCCTTGTTTGGCAGGCCTATTTTTAAAAAATACCATCAGCGTGTTTATGGAATGTTTATCATTTTTATATCTGTTGTAAGTTCTTAGGTATTTAGAACGAGTTATTTCTATATCTGTTGTAAGTTTTCGGGTATTTAGAATGAGTTTTATAATATTTGCCATTTTCCCTATCTGATATTACATATTCCATCAAACACTTGAGAATTAAGAAAATGTATTGGGAACTACATTACCACTTATAGTAATCTGGAAAGCCTTTCTTAACATTATGATTTAATATGTTCAGTATTTCAATTAGCAAATTGTTCTTTGGAACCACTAATTCTGAAAAGCAGTTGTTTTCACACTTGACACAAATATTAGAATACCTCTTTTACTTTGGGATTAATAGGCTGCTGTACATCTGAGGAACAGATCTGATATTACTGAAAATGAACGGACATTCATACGTGTTTGATCTATGTGTGTAAGAAGAATAATGACATTTAAAGATGCGTACATATATTTTTATGCATAGAATACTGAAATTTAAAGCATCTTGAGGTCCTTTAGCACCTTTATAGTCTCAGCTTATAAATGCAAAGGAATATAGGCTTAGAGGAGGTAGGGGAAATGTGGAGATGTTGGTCAAACGGTGCAAAGTTGCAGTTTTGTAAGATGTACAAGTCAGGGGACGTAATGTTCAGGCATGATGACTGCAGTTAATACTATATTGAAGACTGGAAAAATAGATTTCAGATACTCTTATCACACACAAAAGGTAAGTCTGAGGAAGTGACTGTGGTAATCATTTCACCATATATATGTATATCAAATCTTCATGTTGTATACCTAAATGTATACAATATTTACTAAAATATATTTAGAAAAGAAAATAAGTAATAAAGGTTTATAGAGGTTAAATGATTTACTCAACGTAGTTAACAGGTTGGATTGCAGAACCATAACTGGCAACTAGGTCATTTACCCTCCACCTCAGTGTTCTTTGCAACATGTTTTGCTCTTTTTCATTTATAACAATTTGCGAAAGTTACTACAACATTTAAGTTCTGCTTTTCAGAATGCTAAGAATATTTATGTTTTTCTTACATAGAAAACTGAATACTAATTAAAAAAATCAGAGTTGCTTTGCTCTGAAATGGAAGGCAGTCACATAGGAACCGAGCAGACTTTAACAAACTGGTAGTTTATTAAAGATAAAAATTACAGGTTTTCAGAACAGACCTTTTATTTTCCTATTCATATTAAGTGCATGCTCTTATAATTTTCTAAAAATATTTATGATAATTTAAGGTATTAATATACTTAATGTGTATGGTCAGCCATAAATAGGTGTGTGAATGTACATATACTACATTTCAGACCAAAAATCGTGATAAAAATTCAGGAGATCTTGTTTTTGTATAATAATGTTCTGACCTGCATTTTCATTTACTGAATTTTTTTTCTGTCTTCTGCAGATCAGTGGGGAAGCACAGGAGCTTTTTTCTGTTCGACATGGCCCAATTCGAGCAGCTAGAATCTTGCCTGCTCCACAGTTTGGTGAGTGTAGCCCTTAAGAAGAAACAAATCATTCAGAAAGAGGTTTCTCTTTTATTGGTCTTGGACAACAGACAGCAAGAATGATAACTAAAGTCTGTTTTCCTCCACGTGTCCATACTCCTTCCCCTCCTCCCTCCAAGATAAACTCTTAGTTCTGTCAGTTGAGATGGAAATAGGTAATCTTAACCAATTCAGTATGGCCATTCACTTTCTGCTGTGGTTTTGATTTATCTTCCTCCTCTTTGATCTCCATTTAGTTTCTGACATTGCTGGCTCTTTCTTGAAGCCCTCTTCTCTCTTGGTTTTCATGGCAGTGCTCTTCCCATATCCCTTCCTTGCTGACTGTGCCGCTTTTGTTATGTTTCTGGTTTAGCTTACTTCTGTGGGTATTCCCCAAGTCTCTGTTGTTCTCAGTGTCTTTGCTCCTCTTAGTTATACTTACTGCCTTGAAGAGCTTGGTTTTCACCATTATCTCGATTGTAGATGGGTCTGTTGTCTGTATTTACAGCTATGGCAGAAGTACAGTTTCGGGCTTTTGACCTTGGATCTCTGCTTTAATAATGAAAACTTCTTAATGTTGTATTTAAATATTATGTATTTTTAAAATTAAAAAATCAGATATATGGTTAAATTACATCTGTTATTTGGAAGCGTAATTCCCAACTCTTTAATGATCTGAGCTTTCTAAGGGTTGTATTTTCTCTTTAATTTGCCTGTGTTCACTCAGTAATGCTTTTGTATGTGCACTAAAAACAATCATATTAACATCATTTGCATACTTAAAAAGAGGATATTAAAATATTTTAATGCTATTATATTTTTAAAGTTTGTACAGAAGTTGGGAAATCTTCCTGATAATACTTCTTTATGCAGTTATTTCTCTACATTGGTGAGAATGATGTTTATTAAAATGTACTACTATTTGCATAACTAATGTTAGGGATTAATTTAATTATTAAATCTACTTAATTGAAATGGTAAGGGTGGAGGTAATAAGGCAACAATATCCTGCAGTCACGTGGAGATTTTTCCTTGTTATTGAACTGTATGGCATCTACAGTTATCAACTTTGTCTCTGCTTTACACTCTCTGTTTTCTGTTGCATTTGTGTTTTGGTGAAATTTTTGACAAAGAAGATTGTTTTGGAATAACCAGCCTCACTGGATGGTTGGAATCAAGAAGAACTTTAGGGCTTCCCTGGTGGTGCAGTGGTTGAGAGTCCGCCTGCCGATGCAGGGGACGTGAGTTTGTGCCCCGGTCGGGGAGGATCCCACATGCTGCGGAGAAGCTAGGCCTGTGAGCCATGGCTGCTGAGCCTGCACGTCCGGAGCCTGTGCTCCGCAGCAGGAGAGGCCACAACAGGGAGAGACCCGTGTACCGCAAACAAAAAACAAAAAAAAAAAAAAAAGAACTTTATTACTAAAGGACTCTGCCATGTCTTTGTTTCTTTTGTATGTAATTCACAGAGGCAGATTTTTCTCCTTTCATTTCATTTATGAAGTTCTTTTCTTCATGTCAATTATTTATTTTTTTAAAATTTATTTTATTTATTTTTGGCTGTGTTGGATCTTCGTTGCTGCAAGAGGGCTTTCTCTAGTAGTGGGCGGGGGCTACTCTTCGTTGAGGTGCGCGGGCTTCTCATTGCGGTGGCTTCTGTTGTTGCGGAGCACAGGCTTTAGGCACGTGGGCTTCAGTAGTTGTGGATCGTGGGCTCTAGAGCTCAGGCTTAGTAGCTGTGGCTCACGGAGTTAGTTGCTCCGCGGTATGTGGGATCTTCCCGGACCAGGGCTCAAACCCGTGTCCCCTGCATTGGCAGGCGGATTCTTAACCACTGCGCCACCAGGGAAACCCTATTTATTTTTTATATTTTAATTTTTTTTTTGCCGCACTGCATGGCTTGTGGGATCATAGTTCCCCAACCAGAGATCGGACCTTGGCCCCCTGCGGTAGAAGCACGGAGTCCTACCCACTGGACCGCCAAGAAATTCCCCTCTTTATGCCAATTATTAATGTTCAACTTTTCTCAAATTTTTTACTTTGGGCAGAACTATATGAGAGAGTATAAAGCTTTAAAAGCTAATATTGCTAGTAGAATTTGAATTTGTTTAATTTACTTTGTCTAATTAAAAGAAAGATTTCTCCATCCACTATAATATACATTTATTTATTTATTTATTTAAAAAAATTTTTTGGTTGTATTGGGTCTTCATTGCTGCATGCGGGCTTTCTCTAGTTGCGGCGAGCAGGCGCTACTCTTCATTGTGGTGGCTTCTCTTGTTGCGGAGCACGGGCTCTAGGCGTGTGGGCTTCAGTAGTTGCAGCACGTGGGCTCAAGTACTTGTGGCACACGGGCTCTGTAGTTGTGGCTTGTGGGCTCTAGAGCGCGGGCTCAGTAGTTGTGGCTCATGGGCTTAGTTGCTCTGTGGCATGTGGGATCTTCCCGGACCAGGGATCGAACCCATGTCCCCTGTGTTGGCGGGCATATCCTTAACCACTGTACCACCAGGGAAATCCAACTATAATATACTTTTACATGCACTATAAGATACTTTAAATACACTTTTTTTTAGATTTAAGATGTAATTTCACAAAATGTTGTATGACTTGCAGAAATTACATGTTGCTTTTATTGTATTTAATTTTTTAGATTTATTTTCAGCAAACATGCAACTGATCAGATAAAATTTGTAATGGAAAATAGAATACCCCTTTCCTCTCTTCTGCCCGTTTTGCTTTTGCGCTCACTTTGGTGGAATAAGTCCTTTGGTAGCTTCCTGGAAAAGGATGTGTGGTAGATCTTGTTCATCTGAAGATGTCTTTATTTTTCTTTAATTCTTGATTGTTAATTTGTCTGGGTAAGAAATACTTGTTTGTAAGTAATGTTACTTCAGAAATTTGAAGGTATTGATCTGGTGTTATGGTTGAAGAATCTTAAGACATTTTGACACCTTTTTCTTTGTATATGGCTTATTTTTTCCTCAGGAGCTAATAGAATGTTGGCTTTGTTCCCAGTGTTCCAAAATTTTGCACTGTTGTTTCTTGGTTCTTATGTTTTTCTGGGCCTCTTCGATGTAGAAATGCAAGTAGTATAGTTATGAGAAAATTCTTTTTCTTTTTTTTAAATATCTTTATTGAAGTATAATTGCTTTACAATGTTGGGTTAGTTTCTGCTGTACAACAAAGTGAATCAGCTATATGTATACCTAGATCCCCATATGCCCTCCCTCTTGAGCCTCCCTCCCACCCTCCCTATCCCACCCCTCTAGGTCGTCACAAAGCGTCAAGGGAGAAAATTCTTTAAACTACTTTTTTGATGGTTTCTTCTCTTAAGTTTTCCATGTTCTCTCTTTCTGGTACTTGTATTATTTGGCTGTTATATCCCCTAGAATGATTAATTAAAAAATAATTTCATCCCTGTTCTGTTTGGGAGATTGTCTCAATATGGATTACTAACTCTTCTTGAATAATTCTTTGCTGGGATGTCCCTGGTGGTCCAGTGGTTAAAACTCTGTGCTTTCAATGCAGGGGGTACGGGTTCAATCCCTGGTCGGGGAACTAAGATCCCACATGCCTTGTGGTGTGCCCCACCCGCCCCACAAAATGATTCTTTTCTGCTGTCTTTTTTTCTTAACCTCTCCTCATGCCCAACACCTCCCTCCCTCCCTTCCTCTCTCTTTCCCTCCCTCCCTTCCTCCTTCCCTCTCCCTCTTTCCCTCCCCTTCTCTCTCCCTCCCTTCTTCCTTCCTTCCTTTTCTTTCTTCCTCCCTACTTCCCTCCCTCCCCCCACTTTCCCTCCTCCCTCCTTCCCTCCCTTCCTGTTTTTCTTTCTTGGTGTAATTTACATGTAAATATTACCAAATAGAATCCAGTGATCCATAAAAAATTTATACATCAGGACCAAGTAAAAGATATTCCAGGAATACAAGGTCGGTTAACATTTTGAAAATAAATCAGTGTAATTCACCATATTAGTAGAATGAAGAAGAAAACACAGTTGATCATCTCAATAGAAGTGGAAAAAACTTTGGCAAAATTTAATAGCCATTTAGGATTAAAAAAAGCTTTTAGCAAATTAGAAGTAGAAAGAAACATCCTCAGTATGCTAAAGATAATCCATAAAAAAATCTATAGCCAACATTATAATCAATAATGATATATTAAATATTGTACTTTCCTACTGAGTTAGGGCTGGATCCTATCACTACTTCTATTCACCATTGAATTCAAGTCCTAGCCATTACAATAAGGCAAGAAAAATGAATAAGAGATGCAAATATTAGAAGGAAAGGTATAAAATCATCTTATTCATAGATAATTTGATTGTATATGTAGAAAATACAAAACAATCTACAAACTGTTAGAATTAAGAAGTGATTTTTTAAAAAAATTAATTTATTTTTGGCTGGGTTGGGTCTTCGTTGCTGTGTGCGGCCTTTCTCTAGTTGCGGTGAGTGGGGGCTGCTCTTTGTTGTGGTGTGCGGACTTCTCATTGCAGTGGCTTCTCTTGTTGTGGAGCACAGGCTCTACGTGCGCGGGCTTCAGTAGTTGTGGCTTGTGGGCTCTAGAGTGCAGGCTGAGTAGCTGCGGCTCACGGGCTTAGTTGCTCCGCAGCATGTGGGATCGTCGCGGACCAGGGCTTGAACCCGTGTCCCCTGCATTGGCAGGTGGATTCTTAACCACTGCCCCAACAGGGAAGCCCCAATTAATAAGTCATTAATAAGAGCTGTTGCAAAAATCCTCAGGAAAATACTAGCAAACAGAATCCAATAGCACATTAAAAGGATCATACACCATGATCAAGTGGGATTTATCCCAGGAATGCAAGGATTCTTCAATATACACAAATCAATCAATGTGATACACCATACTAACAAATTGGAGGATAAAAACCATATGATAATCTCAGTAGTTGCAGGAAAAGCTTTTGACAAAATTCAACATCCATTTATGATAAGAACTCTCAAGAAAGTAGGCATAGAGGGAACCTACCTCAACATAAT